TTTCTGAGTGCAACGAGAGGAAATTAAACTTTGAGAGTTCGAAAATCGTCATAATAATTAAAAAAATATATATTAAAATTTCTACCTGTATGAATATAAGGAAACAATTTTTAGAACTCTATGAATTATAAAAATATTCAATTATGATGAGAAACTTTTAAAACATATGAAGATTGTAGGGTTACGTCTCTCATACTATATAATGCTAGTTAAAAATAAAATAATAAAATGTTGTAAATACAAAAAATTACAAATAAACATTTTTTATTCCATAAAAAAATTTATAATTTACAATTGTTATTTTTTTCACACTAGCTTAAATTAAATTTTGTGTCTCACTAATAAAACACAAAGAATATATGTGTGTATTTGTGTATATATGAATGTGTRTGTGTGTGTGTGAACAATTCTAACGCACCTTAGTTTGACTTAAAAATTGTGTGTTTTGTTCTATGCATTTTTGGCGTAACGGTTAAGGTTAAAATGTGTGTATATATGTGTGTGTATATATAACGGTGTATACATGCTTTCTATGCAAAAATGTTTGTGTGTGTATGCGCTATACTTATTACGTAGGTACAGTAGGAAGATTTGCAATTGCTCTAGGAATGAGTATGTATCTGTTATTATTCTGTATGAAGAATTATTATTAATTTTTTCTTTTTTAGTTTTTTTTTTGCTTGCCCTTAACAAATGCTGCACTTATGTATGTACATATGTAAGTTTTCTGCTATGCAATATAACTTAATTTGCGCCTTTGTTATTTTTTATATTTGCTTTATCATAATTTTCTACAATTATTGATTTCATCTGCTTTTGTTTTGATTCTCTGCTTACGATTACAACAACCTTACATAATTACAAAAAAAAAAAAAAAAAAAATTAAAATATACCAAATTAACGCTAATTATCAATAATATGTATGTGTGTGTATGCATGTAATTACAGTAACTTAGTAAAGTAAATTCTACAAACGAGTGCTTGTTTCTGTTCTCTCTCAGTTTCTTTTGTGTTTGCCACTTCGGTGGCTATCAGCATCAGCTGCCGATTTGGCTATTAAATTCAACAACTTTTTAATTTTCATTCACGATCGGCCTGGGCGAACCCGTCGGCTCAACAATTAAAAATGTACCGTATTAACGCTACATTGCCGTGCGGAATGCTCAGCAGCTGCTAAACGTCGCTGCATTCGGGCAGTGTTTGCTGCTCTAACTGCGCCACGCAGGCCGCCGTTTGTGCTTCCGGTGCTACCTCACTTTCGCATTCCTGTTCCCCGCCCACATCATCTCTGCTGGCTGACGCATCACTCGGCGTTACAGCCGATCTTTCCTCGGCATCATACGCCACTAAGGCAGTGCCAGTTTCGTGCGACTGCGGTGCCTCCGTCTCTTGCTGCTCACTCGCCGCGGGTTCTGGACTTAACTCTTCCGCGCGTTCTTCACGTTTCGCCTGCTCTGCCTGCTTTAGCTCGGCATCTTTGTGCTCCGACATCATCTTCCACATGTTGAAGAATTGTTCGCGCCGTTGCATTTCGTAGTTGAGCAGCTCAGCCTCATCCTCTGAGCTACTGCTACTCACTGCGCGCATTTGCACGTTGCCGCTGGTAATTGCGCCTGTCAACACTAACGCCGTCGCACCACTTACGCTCGCCCGTTCGCCGGCAGCATCTAGCGGCGCGGTGTCTTCTACTTTTGCGTCGTCGTACGTGTAAGTATCTGCATCGGCGCCGGCGCCGCTTAGCACGCTGCTGCCCATCAAATGTGAGGTAGGTGACTCGAGACTGCTGCCCAGTATTGGTGTTAGACCTTCGCCGCGTAGACGTTCGCGTTGCTGCAGCTGTAGCTCGTCCAATTCATGGAGCTCGTGTTGCACAGAGCTTCGTCGCGCATTAACCGCGCGCATGGCGACCAAAACACCTGCCGCCGCAGTGGCCATTTCCTCTTCTTCACTGAGGCCATCGTCACCATCACGTATCGCATCGTATTCACGTATGCCGAATTCGCCGACGGGTACATAATAACCGTTTATAGCCACCAGGTAGACCACGCGGCTGAAAGGCGAACGGAAAAGTGGATCGCGGTGTCCGGGCATCCAGAAGTGCACCACGTAGCCCACCATGCCGATACAGGGCAGCCAATCCTTCCAGGCGGAACGACCACCTTTGGCGCGCATTTCCTCGCTGGGCCAAAACATGTTAAAGCGACGTCCGACATCGATGCGATCAAAAATCTGCGACAGACGTAAAAAACTATGTTAAGTCAATATGCTACAATTTCATCGCTTGTACTTTACCTCAAAATCATCGATAATGACGACCTTCTTGTACAGTCCGATGCGCGGCACGTGTCCCGCTGCTGCTAAGGACGCCACCATATCAGCGCTGCTCGACTTTCCGCCCATCTCGGGCACGCCGCTGCGTTCGTTCGCGGCCAGCGCTGCCGCCGCCGTCAAACTGATCGGACCTTTCGACTTACGCGGATAGTCGCCAGGTGTCGTTATAATGCTGCCAATGCCGATGCTGCCCGATGAACTGGACATTTTGGTGTAGCGCGGACTGCTGCTATTCGGTTGCAACTCAGCACCACCGCCAGCATGGGGCTCCAACTGACGCGCCGATTCAGCAGATTTTGCAGTTGTAGTCGCCGCATTACTGCCGGTGTCTGCAGCATTCGCGCTGCCACTAGTGCTAGCAATGGGTAGCGTTACACGCCGTTCGCGCTCGACGCGTGACAGCGAATGCGATACGCGTATGCCGACACCGCGTAATTGCTCTCGTTCACGTTCACGCTCGTGTTCTTGTTCGCGTTCCCGATTTAATAAACCGGCGAGCAGCGCAGGCTTTGCCGTCACCACAGGACAACGCCATAACGGTGTCACCACCGCGCCATCGCTGCCAAATTGCGCGCCCAGTGTGCCGCCAATACTGGTTGGTACGGTGACACCATGCACCGGCCGACACCCGAACATATTGCCCACCGTCAGCGTGTTGTAAAGCGGCGCCGAGATGTAGATGGGCGCAATGTCAGCGCCTGACTCACCACTACCCACGGTGGCGCTACCCATGCCGCCGGTAACGCCTAGGCCGAGGTTGGAGGTCTCCATCGCCGAGCCCGAGCTGCAGCCTTGACGACAGCGCTCACGTATCCGATGCCACCAATCTAAAACGTTCGATTTGATCGACTCCAGCGTAATGGCGCCACCGATGACCTTGCACAGTTGCTCATTGGTATCCGCGTAGGAAGTGGTGAGCGGCGACACGTATATGGGGTATCCAATTGGTTGATCACAGCTGGAATTGATGATGTTGCGCAACGCCTGTTTGGCATTCTGTATGCTGCCGCGCTCGGGATTGCGATTGCGCAAATATATGAGCTCCTGCTGCTGCCCCGCCCAAAGGCCGCGCACGCATTCGCGATTAAGCTTGATGACACGGAAGCTGAGGAAACGCTTCGTCAGCCTGATTATGCGGTACTCGTCTGAGCCGTCCTCCATTACATGACGCAAGGCAAGCAAGTTGGGCGCGCCCCTCAGCACAGCGCTGCGCCAAACAGGATCTGCTTCGTGTGATATAACCAAGTCATTGGCGCACGTATCAATCGCCTCGTACAGCGCCTCCGGGTAGTGAAACTCATCTGGATTTGAGATGTGATCTTGCTGCAGCTTCAGCGCCATTTTTACAGCCGGCGCCACTACAGCATGCAGCAACTCCATGTCGGCAAAGACCCACTCATCGCGTGGTGATTGTATGCGAAAATCGCCCTTAAACAACTGATGCAAACCGTGCAAAAAGAATTCAACACCGGTCAGCGAGCTGTGCGAAGCGTTGGCCAACGAACGTCGTGCCAACAGGCCCAGTGCAAGGCAGAGCGAAACTATCGGCGAGTCCTTTGTCACGCTGGGCACTTTTAACTTTAACAATGGTCGTTCGCAATTGGTCTCCTCTGAAGCTGCGCGCTCGGTACCGCCGTTAGGTGCGTTCGTAGTGTTTGCACTAGCCGTTGGCGATGCTTCTTTGCGCAGTGCTTTCAGCGCCGCGGCACCAGCACCCACTGACTTACCGCGCATTTGCTGCCCCAGTGTAGGCATTTTAGCCGCCGCCGAGATGCTTGCGCCCACTGTCGCCGCACTATTCGCAAAACCATTATCGAGTGGCGCATGCGCGGCTCCCACGGATATGTAACAGCCGCCCACGCCACTTAGACCCGGCGCCGACTCGGACGTCTGCCGCGAAATGTTAGCAAATGAGGGCGAGATGGCGATATGCTCCGAAGAGTTCGTTGTGGTACTGCCGCTCATTGTCGCGCTCTTCTGCGGACGCGTGCGCAGCTGTTGTTGTGACTGTGATTTGCTGGTGGTAGTTGTGGCGGTTGTGGACAGGTTTGGCGTGCTCTTCGAGTCGTTATACGCACCGCCGTTGTTATTGCTATTGTTGGTGGTGGGTGTGTGTGGTGGTAGTGGTGGCGCGGGTGCCGCATTTGTTGCATTGCTGCCGTTAGTATTCGCCGTGGACGTTGCGGGATTCTGACTCTCTTTCCGCTTATCAAAGCAATAGTTGATCCAGCTTAGGTAAACATAACAGAAGCTGGAGCGCGTGATGCCAACAGCGCGAAAGTCGAAATCTTCATCGAGATTGTAGTTGAAAATGGGATCGAGATCCACAAACTGCCGACTGAGCGTATGTTGAAGCGCTTCCTGTATGGGCGCCGAAGCAAGCCATTGCTCCAGCTTGGGATTCTTGATCACATAATAAATGATGCTCTGCAAAAATAATATTAATGGCTATTGTTGTTGTACATAAGGCGCGATAATGACTTACCTTAATGTAATAGGTGATGAGCACCTTGCGATACTCGAAGACCTGCAGCGTGGCGCTCGCCAAGTTATCCGATATCGAGTAACCTTCGAGCACGTATTGCGCCGCGACCACTTGCCAGGCGAGCCAACGCGTCGAGAACATGGCGTTCACGCTCAGCATGCGCGGCAAATGGCCCGGGTCGCAGCAGCAGCAGCCATCGTTATCCTCTACATCCTCGGTTATGGCCTCCACTTCGCGTTGCTGGCAGTAAGTGCCACGAAATTCCAAGCCACGCATCTGAAAGGTACACAGTCCGTTACCCAGCTCAATGATGTGCACCAGGCAGTTGAGGTAGTCTGAGGCGAGCACTAGTTGAGCGGATATTAAGACAATAAGCACGGCGAAGCGTCATTAAAGCAAAAACACAAACAACTTACCAAAACAATCGCCTTGATTGACGTTGCCCCAGCGACCCATCAGCAGGTCGCCGCACAAAGAGTGCTGCAGTGAGCGCGTTAAATGCTCATAGAAAATGCTGTTCAAATTGTTATCGTCCGCGCCTAGATTGCGCTCCAGCTGCGAACTCAAACGCGTATTGGAATGATCGATGCGACGCGTATTGTAGTCGCGCTCCCAGAACTTTATGGGGCGCACGTAGGAGGTGAGGAAAATGGCGCTGCCCAGGAAGGGATTCAGCGGCGTGGAGAGTATGGCTGAGACGCCGGCCTGCAGGAAGAGCATTGCCGAGTGCGGTACACTAAATGGTTGGGCGAATGCGTGGAACGCCGAACCCCACGTGATTTGCCACGGCGCGATGTAGGTAACGATGAATTGTAGCTACGCGCCGATAGTGAGAAAAAATAGTTCTTTTTAGTTAAGATATTACACGGCAGCGGAAGCGGGGTCTTACCTTAAGTAGAAAATCACAGCACTTGCGGAAGGCCAACGACATGAAGAAATAGTCGATGAGGAACGTCTCACTTGCGAAGGCGAAATCGTAGCGAAAGCACAGAACGGTGAACATCACAATCAGATACTGATTTGTCGGATCCGAATACGCGTTGCGAATCACTAATGAAAACAACCAAGTTAAATAATACAAATTTCTCGTTAAAATCACCGTCTATCAGCACTCACGTTTCAGCGCGCACACCGCCACAATCAGTGTGCCCCAGGCAATGCCGAACTTGTTGGCAATTATCTGCGCGTCCGCGGTTACAGACGAAATGACCAGCAACGGAAACATCACATTGCGCTCCAGCATGCAGAGATAGATGTAGACCTTCTCGAACCACATCACCTTCGGCGCGTGTGCTACTTCGAACTGTCCGTATTCCTTCTGGCGCAGCAACGGTCGCGCAAAGCAGAGCCAAGGCATGTGCTTGCGCATCTGCGGTATGATGTAGTGCAGTAGCAGACCCAAACCGCCGGTGAAAGCGTAGAGCACAATGTTCAGATCCGGCTGCAAAACGGTGAAGACGGTGCTGCAGTGCAGACCAAAGACAACAAACGCCAGCAGCGTGGTCACTACAAGATCATTCTTAAGCCGCATATTCACTGTAGCCTGCAGCTTCTTAGGCAGCGGATCGGGCGATTCGTTGTCGTTGTCCGCATTTGCGCTGGCGGCGTTCGTTGGCATGACGGTGGGCTCGATGTCGGCGCAGACGCCACCCGCAGTCAGCGTGGACATGTCGCCGGGGTTGGTGGTCGACGAGCTGGACATTTTGTCCTCCTCATCGCCGGCTTGTTGTTGGGCTTCAGCATCCACGTCCGCTTCAACCGACTTCGATCTTACGGCGTCCCCAGTTGTTATAGACGTCGGCTGTGCAGTTTCCTTCGTGCCAACGCCCACGTTTGACGCATTTGTTGGCGTCGTGACAGTTGCGTTCGGCGCATCGACCACTTCGTTTTCAAGCAATTGGCTGGCGTTCTCTCCAACTGGCGCCGCGTCGTGCAGGCTTTCAGCGCCTGCCATCAGCGCGCCGCTACCGTTCACCACCGACACGAAGGAGTTTGACGTGGTCATGCCCCTTCTGTTGCTTGACTGGGTTTTAGCAAGCGTTTGACTGCTACTCGCCAATGAAGACGCCTTTGATTTGCTGATCTTGCCCTCAATTTCGATGTTTATATGTTCGAGTGTGGCGCGTTCGCGAATCTCAGCCGTGAGCTTTTCATCCAGTGCAGACATTTCGATCTGTTCATGAGCGCGTGCGCTGCTGCTTTTCGTGCGTCCTTTCAGTGTTGTATTTGTGGTGAGTTTCTGGCTACTCGCCGCGCTGCCGTCGATGGTAGCGGCGCTCAGCTCGTCCTCATCGTCATCGTCGTGGTAAGTGCTGACAATGCAGTTCTTGATGAGCGCCCACAAATGGCTAAAGTCACTGGCCGAACGCGACAGGTGGTAGCCGAGCGGTACGAGTATGGCGCAGAAGAGCGAGAACACTATGAATTGTGTACCGCGTTCTTCAGCGAATGCGCTGTAGAGTGGACCGTAGAGTAGCATAACGCCGAGTATAGAGCGCAGCACGCAGAGAAAAGAGCCTGTCGCGGATGAGTAACGAAGTAGAAAAAGGTAAGAAGAAAATATGTTAATAACTTACCCAGTAGACTACCCGCTGCATTGCCGCCGAAGACGTGCATATCTATTTGCTCCAGCAGATACATGAGAAAGGTGTTGATCTGCGGAAAGAGCCCTAACGAGAAGATTATCGGGAAGCACAATAGGAACACGTACATCACTTGCAGTGCTGTTGCGGTCAGCACAAGCGGTGAATAGCGTACGCCGAAGAAGCTCAGCACTGCCGGCGCCACTGCCTGTTGTTCATACTCCCGTTTCAGGCGCTCGCAAAGCAAGAGTATACCGCTGCATATGCAGAAGTATATAGCGCGCGAGTAAGCCACGGTCTTATTGAAGCCGTGTATGGGTGAGGCCGCATCCGGCTGTACGCTCTTTACCAGCGAGTACTGTGCGCTCGCTATAACGGCGCAAAATAGGAACGCGAACAGGTCTTTGTAGTAGCCCAGCTGCAGTATCGTGGCGCCAAGATAGGCAACCATCGCAGAAAGCAACACGGACAACATTATGTGAAGCCAATGTAGGTCGCGATCGAAGAGCGCTAAGAGCTCTAAGCGATCCATGGAGATCTTGAATTCATGCTCATAGCCACAACATTTGAAACGGTACTTGTAGTAGCTCTTTGGTGCTATCGGTTTTTCAGCCGACAAGGGGAAGGATGGACGAAAGTAACTCTCTATGGGACGGCCATTTAGTAAGCGGGTGCCAGTGCCAGTGTTATTGCTACCACTACCAGAGCGCGTCTGTGAAGAGCGCTGTTGTCCCTCATCGTTGAGTACATTTATGAGTCCCTGTATTGAGAGTCCAGCTCCGTTGTATACTGTGCGCGCGTTCAACGACGAGGAGGCCACCACAACGCCGAGCGGTGGATGTAGATTGCGTATAGGCGCTGTTGTAGCGCCCGACTGACTACTCAATTGCGCCGATTGCAGCTCATGTGCATGCGAGAAATCACCTATGGAGGAGTTGCCTGGCTCGGAAATTTGTTTTGAGTTGCGCCGCGCCTTGTCGCGGTAGTACATGCGCTCTGTCAGCCAGAGGCTATCCGTCGATGTGGCTGGGTAGGTGTTGAGCGCCTGGATGGCATCTTGGTAGAATTGAAAATGCGCGCTGGACATATTGGCGGTCGCAGTTGAGCAGCCGCCGGCACCGGTGCCGACGACGTTGCTTGACGCACCTGTTGCCGCGCTGCTTGCTGTAGCGTAGCCCTGTTGTGTGGCTTCGGGACGGCCATGTTCCGTCATCAGCCAAAGCATTTTATGTATGTCTGCGGAAAAGGAATCGGCGCTTATGCTGCGCGATGATGTGGAAGACGAAGTGCGCGAAGCAGTTTTCGATGTTATGCTATGCTGCGCGTTGTATGGCACCAGCGACATCTCGTTGTTTGTGCTGGTCGCACCGCTGTTGCCGCCGCGTCGTTTATGCAGCTGTGAGCCGCCGCCGCTGCTGTTCACAGTCTCATTTACTTCGCGATATTTAACGACCTTTGGAATAGCGCCTAGGTTTTTGCTGCTACTCGCGCCCGCGCTTGTTGATGGTTTTTTCCCACATTCCAAGCCCTCCTCTATATCTTTGTTCACTTTCAGGGGTTCCGCCTTTGCTTTAGGAGGCGCGACGTTAACAGCCGCCTCCATGCCCGCCAGCAACATGTCTTTTGAACTGGCGCTAACCTGCTCGCAATCACTAGAAGGGCAGCCGGAGTCACCCTCGCCGCGTGCAGCATGCTGCGGGCGCATTTCGTAGGCGTGTTGTGGCGCGCCAACGCCACCGTGGTGTCCGGCTAAGTTTTTGTGCTTCTGCAAAGCCGATATCTCCATGTACATATCCTGCTCCGCGGCTTTATTTTTGCTGACGCTATGCTGCCAGGATTTTCCGCTGAGCAGTGGTGAGCGCGAGCCGTTGTTGTCCGTCTCCGAATCGGTGGAATGTAGACGCTGACGTAATGTTTGCGAAGTCGAAGGCTGTTCGTCATCCAGCGCAGGCGCAACTGCGGCATGCACTGTTGGCGAGCGTAATGACTGGCGTTGCCTTGCCGCGGGCTCATCAACTTCGTCTTCACTATCGGCCGAATATACATGCGCCTTACGATTATTTTCCGCCGCCGAACGTTTCAAATCCTGCTGAATCTGCTCTAGTCCGTTGAGTATATGGTCAAAATCATCCGTGAAATCTGTCTTTGGCTGGTTGACTGGGGCCGCCTGACATACGACGGATTTCAGTTCAGCGTTGCCCAAACCATGCTCCAAGTCGTCATCAAAGTCTTTGAACTCGTCGTCTTCGTCGTTGTCCACCTCGTCGCCCAGTATATCACCCACATCCGATTCGGCGCTGTGGTGGAGACAGCCCAACGCTTTGCGTCTGTGACGCATCGGTACGTCATCTACTTCGTCATCGACATTATCAACTTCGTCGTCATCCAGATCATCCAGCTCAATGTCATTTTCCTCATTGCCTTCCTCTATGCCTTCTATATCTTCGTCCTCATCGTCATCGCCACAATCACCAGCTTCCATATCGTTCAATTCCAATGCGCAATCGCTACGTTGCGTTGCTACATCCAACGACGAGGCGCGCTCATCCGACTGTTCGACAATAGGCGATACGGGCTCAATCAGTGCGGTGGTCGAGCCGCTTGTTCCGAAATTTAAGCTGCTACTGCCGCCACTACTGCTACTCGCGCCACCAAAGCTCCCGCCGAACTTCGGACACAAGTTTAGGTGCGGATTGCGTACTAGACATTTGCTAGGTGGCGGTAGCAATGCTGATTGCGGATTCTTTATCATTTGCTGGCCATTTATCGCCTCCACGCTGTTGGGGTGAGGACTAAGGTTCGAGACTGAGGGACGCGGACAGGAGATCTCTAGCGCCGCACTCTTAATGCGGCGTACAGTCGGCTGCTGGCCCGACGCCAACGCAGCAGCGGCAGCCAAAGCGCTTGAGTGCGCATGATGCGGGGCGCCTACACCACTAGCGCCGCCTTTATAGAGTGCAGTGGCATTGGAATGTCGCCGTCTTTTCATGCCGCTGCCACTGTTACCCGCACTCGATTTTGCATTACCCACGGGCAGTTGCAGCGCGGACATGGTGCTGCTGGAGTCTTTGCGTATGTTGACGACGCCATGGTGGTGGTGATGATGTGGAGTGCGGTAGAATTGCTGTTGATACTGCGCGTAATGTGCGTTAAACGGCTGCTGCTGCTGCAATAGAAACCCGGGACGATTCGACTTGCGCCCATCCAATTGTTCGATGCCAAAATCCGATTTCGTGTAGCTGTCATCGTCGATGTAGACATCGGAGGATGAACCTGCGGTACGTAAAAGAATATTGTATAAACATATACCTAAACAGTCACAACTGCGTACTAACCTAGTATCCATGGCTGCAGAACTCGCGCGCGCGTGTCCACATGCCCCGACATGCCGCTGGCGCTGCCGCCTAGACCATCCATCTCCATATCATCGCCGTCCAAGATGTCACCGACTATCGCCGCCAACGCGCTGCTGCTGCTGGCGCCGCTGGACACATGGTGCGGCTGATGCTCATGGTGAATGGGCAGGAAGAGACTACGATTTTGTTGTTTCATGCGCTCTTCGTGCGTTTCGGAGCTGCGATGTCGTTGCAAGCGCGTCCCCTTAGCCGACGACAGCGCAGAGGATGCGTTCAGTGCAATACAACCTGTAGCGCCGCCGGAGCCAGAGGAACTCGACATATTCGTTGTTGCCGTTGGTGTTGCGTTAGCACTTGTGAGCGCCAGCGTTGTCGTGGCGTTAGTCGTTGTGGCAGTTCGTTGTGTGGCAGGGCCTATTGCAATGGTGCCCAGCGCATTGTGCGTCGTCTTCGATGCCGAGGCAGATTTGCTCGCCACAGCGGCATTGACGTCTTGCGGATGCAAAAAGTTGTCATTACAACGCGCAGTGGTGCTCGTCGCAATTGTATCAGATTGATTGCGTATCAGTTTGTTGGCCAAGCACGATTCGGCGGCAGCGTCTAAGCTGCCTTGACGTTCTAGACGCCGTCGTTGATGACGTCGCTTGAATTCCTCAGATGATTTACGTAGTAGGTGTGGCATGTGGCGTGCGGTGGCATTGTTGGTGGCTGTGCTATTGTTGGCGCCGGGTTTTAAAGTGCTGCTGTGGTGTGCGGTTATGTCGACGTTGCTCATATGTTCACTTTCGTGCTCCGGATAGACGCTGAGTGCGCCAGTGATGGGCGCATTTGTTGAACGTATGGATTTTGTGACGCTAACGGAACCGGCAAGTGACTGTTGATCTTGTTGGCTATTACCAGAGACTAGCGAAGGGGGATAGAACAGCATTTCGATAGATTCTGAACTGTTTTTGCGATGTACGTCCACCTTGAGGTCTGCGCCAATATTTTGTAGGGAAATTTCATATAATCTTTGATTTGTTTTATAAATTTCACCTAACTCACCAATTATGCTATTTACATTTTCCATGGACATCATGCTGTTCTCCTCGCTTGCTTCATTTATCGCCTGCTCCACGGAATTGTGTGAACCATCGTTGCGCATCACCTTCATTTCGATGCCCGTCTCATTTTCGCTACAAGTAAGTACAAATATATAACTGCATAAACAATAGCCTACACTAGATAACGAAGTACAAAAGGCAGCAGCTAGTTGCAAATAAGGCGGCGGGTGCTGCTTAACGCGTCGTTTTTTATTTATAAACAAACAACTCGCCACGCTATGCAATTTCTACACACATACGCTCGCTTATGTACACCATTGTTAGGGGGTGCAAACCCACATGCAATGCATGGCGAAGTTCATAATCCTTTCTCACCTATGCCTTCGGCCAACTAGCAACGCCACTCGTTTATAAACAAATATTCCTGCAATCGCGCATACATATGTACATACATGCTTGAGAAAGCATTTACAACAATGCACGTGGCCTTGTTGCCTTATTTCAACTTTCTACCCATCAAACTACTGTCAGCTGATGCATACCTATACATAAACACTCATGCTTGACACCTTAAGGGAGGCGATTCTTTGCATTTGACAAATTTCAATATGGAAAAGCTTGAATTTTCCCGACGCCAAGGTCACTAGGTGTCATAATTTATTTAATCATTAATAATCATCTCAAATATAATTTTTCTTTAACCACTTTAAACGCAAAATATATGAAGCTTAAATCTAAAGTCTAAGTCGGCGATTTATAGTTGAAACAATTATTTTATAGTTATGGTTTCTGTGTTTGCTTTACATACTCGAGAGCTTTGACCTGCAATTTAGCAATATCATTCATGCTAATTTTTTTCACAAGCAACAGTTGAACAACAACAAGAAATTATTAAACAAATGCAAATATTATAAGCATTGTGAGTCATTTCAAAGCAAATGAATACTAAAGACACGATCGACACTTATCGTCACTTTTGTTGTTGTTGTTGTTATCAGTAATGTGAACGTTGTATGAATAACTTGAGACGCTTAATTGTTTCCAATTAAAAGGGTCTTCGGTGTGAGGTTTTTTTAAGCTTTTCAATATTGATATTGTGATTTTCTGTAATATATAGCATTTGTTGGGAAATTATTTACTGGCAGCAATGCAATTTAGTATGTATGTGTTTATCAGTATTCACCATTTTTTATTTAAAATTTCGATGGAATTGTGCGTGGTTTTATTTCATGCGGCTTTGTTTTATAGTTGTTTTCATTGCTTATTTCGATTCAGTGAGCTTTGTTCACTGCATTGAAAATATTTTTAAACACATTTTTACACAAAACTACCACACTCCCAATTTCAATTTTTACACGCTTTTGTTTATCAGAATGACCGCTACGGTTGCCTTTATATTCACTTTCATTGCACTACATTACTTGCAGTTACACTCACCGTGGTTCCATTTCCTTAGTGATTTTGAAAAATGGATTTTTGAGATTCGCCTCCGACATGGTTTGGGCTCGGTCGTAGAGCCGATGCAATGCCATATTTGCTAGTTTCACCAGCAATATGGTGAAACTTGTGAGTGTGCAGTAAATGCACCATGTTAGCCAAGTACTTGGAAAATACTGCAACAAATTAAATCAAATAAGTCTGAATTTATAAACAATGACATTGGTGGGCGCGACAACAGCGGTTCTAGCGTCTGAGGAAGGCGTGATGGCGCGCCACTTTAAAAAGTGTTGTTTTTTTTTGCCACGGGTGTCTGCTTTGGCATGCAAATAGCGAACAGCCGGGCGATTTTCTAAATCGGTTTTCTCGCATTTTTTTGTTTTGTTTTGATTAGCATTGATGTATCTCATTTTGTGAGTGACGCACTATGCTGCCTTGACGCCGTTTTGCCAACCATCCAATAGCTGCGTCGGCGCCCGTTCTCAATGCCAAACATAGTTGTATTCGAAATACATACCAGATACGCGACAAACGGTGAACACAGCAGGTACAACCAGAGATACAGGTGTACCACATTACAGAAGACGCCCTGATGTGGATCGTAGAACCAGCCACCGGTCAGTGAGGCCCACACGCCCTGGCGCAAAATCTCCAAGGTTTGTGAACCCATGGCAAACTAACAGTCATCTCCTATACAGCCTGCCAAAGTCCAGTGGCAAAGATGTCGTCTGTAAGCTTGCTGCCAAATGAAATGCACATATACATGCGTATGTGTATATTGGCAGTCAATAGGTATGAATGGCGCGAGTTAATGCGCTATGTAAATGTACGTATGTTACAGGTGTGCAATGGATGGGCTGTTCGTGTGTAGGGGGCGGTACGGGTTGTGATTTGGCGTGTTGCAACCGACCACAACTACGATGATGGGTGTTGAAGACGACGTCTCAAAAATCAACGAAGACAACGTTTGCGATTCCCTTGAAGTTTCACGGTCAAAATTATACGAGTTAAACACTCAGTCGTTAAATATGTTGTGTGTTGCTGAAATGTACAAACAGGAAGCGTATGTGGTTTTCCTCAAGCACAACTTGACAATCTGCCGCTGCTGACGTTGTTTGTAGTCGCCGCAGAGCAATAATATATGTAAAGTTATTTGTACACCACTGCTTTTACAGAACTCGATTGTGTGCGTTGCTTCTTTAACGACTTTAATTTACACAATTTTCACTTCAACGCATGGACAATTTTTAAATATATATATTTTTTTTTTTTTTGTATTATGGCCTTAATTTGCTTTGCCTCTTGCTATTGCTACGAGTATTTTATACTTATTTTACATTTTACGGATGCAGCTCCTTCAAGGTTTCAGTTTAATTTTTTCTCTGCTGGCACTTTGTGCCATATTTTTGCTTAGTTCGAGACGCTAGCAAATGATATCTATGCTTACTGATTGTTTGGGCAGTTAGTTGTAATACCCAATTACAAATTTTAGATTTTTTCGCGTGAAAATTTTCCTTTATTTTTTTCGCGTTGAATTTCTCTGAATAATGAAACGTCAAAAACAGTCCCTACAATGCTGCTTCCTATTCCCTAACACAGTTCACAATGAATTAGTAGGTTGCTTCTTCTTGGCAAAGACCAAGTCACAATAGTTAAAACATATGTCAATAAGTGGTTATAAAATATGGCAAGAGATTTTTGTACCAAAGCTTCTTTAATAAAAAACTATCGTTTTCTATAAGATCAGCTTAAACATGTTTATTTAACAAAAAAAGAAAATTGAAACTAGTGATCGTGTAATATCTCTCACGGCATCCAACAATATACCTGTCCCATTCCCTTAGAAGTAATTTCGGAAATTTTAAATTTAGTAGTTTCTTATTAATTTTAAACATTTTGCATGGCTTTAATGGATCTACATGGACTTTGCTCAGCTCTCATGACTCTCCTCCTTGTGTTCGTACTGATGGTGATGGTGTATATGTTCCTCTTCTTCTTCGATAATCGGATGCACATGCTCGTGCTTTTCCGTGTGATGATGCTGATGCTCGTGAGAGATGTGCTCTTTGTGTATAATCGGATGATGCTCCTCGTGTATGACCTTTTCCTCTTTGATGACAATCGGTTTGTGATGATGATGTATATGCTTTATAATGGTGTGTGTGTGTTCCTCGATCTTCTTGTGGACCGGTACGTGTATGACGACCTTTTTCTTCTTCTGATGACCGCTAGAAAGTAAAAGTGCGAAAAAGAGAGAGAGGATGAGTATTAATGAAAAGATGACGAGGTGAACGAGTCCCTCTAGCCAAGTATTCCGAGGCGATTCTAGCCCATTCCCACGGCAGTCGGGTGTACTTAACCGAACCCGAACCCGAATTTTTATGCGGCCAGGAACTGTCAACTCGCCAGCAAACCTTCAAATCAGGCATGTTTTCTGCCACTAAAAGAACAACATATGCTAAAGCCAGCTCCGCGCCTAAACACTTACTTGGCATCCGCGCTTTGGGCGCACATCAGCAGCAGCAATGCGCCCACAACGATGGTCACATTGAAGAGCTAGCGGAAAACAAAAACAAAAGCGAAATTTATAAAGAACTTATCCCAGCAGAAAGTCAGTTTTCGCCTCACCCCGCGTGTTCGTTGCATATTAGAGCTAATTCGAGCCGTTTCTAAATTTGTAACACTTTCGCGAGCAGTCAGATCTGCAGTTACGATGTTCACTGGAAGCGCCGTTATTCACACTTCGCTTTGAGGCTACGAAATGAGTGTTGGCCCAGTTGGCTAAAGACTTTTATAACATGCAAACTGCAATGCGGATAACGGTAAAGTTTAGCTGCACATTCGTATGCCATGAGCAGCGCGGGGCGAGTGGGGCGGGCAGTTAAAGTGGAACGCCAGAAAACATGGAATTCGGACGATATTCGCTTCCTTGGCTCGCATGCGATTTGTGTGTGTCGATGTGTGGGTGCAAGTGGTGTGTGTGTGTGTGCTTTGGCGCTAGCAGTAACAGCTGCAACGTAATCGCCGCGGCGCATGCGCAACGGAGTGCAACAAAGGCGCCGATAAGGCTATTGTTACAAAGAAACTGTATGTATGTATATATATGTGTGCGTGCTGACGCTGGTGGGTGTATTTTGAGCTTATCATTTTTTGCAACCGTAAAATATATATTTTTCAGTTTCCTTTGCACAAACATTTGCTTTTAAGCATTTTCTGCTGCGTTTTATTGCATTTTATTGTTTGTGTTTTTGGTATTATTGCTTTTGCTAAGCGGAAGCCTATCTGAAAGTCAGTCAGCGGAAATACTTTTTACAAAGTAATTTAATTAAATTGTAACGGAAAAATATGCTCACGCACATAGGTATGTATGTGTGTGTAAGTGTAATATGCTCATGTACATATGTATGCACTCAGCTGATTGAATGATTTCAGAGACATGATAATTGGTGAGTGAGTGTGCTAAATTATGCTGAAATTAAGAGTGTTTAAATATTTTGTTGCGGAAAAAGTGAAAAATATACAGGCAAAAAGAAGAAATAAATGTTAAAAAA